CACCACATAAGCAAAAAGAAAAAAGCCAGAAGTGGTGCTGTGGCTCAAGTGGTAGAGTGCTAGCCTTGAGCTGAAGAGCTGAGGGACAGCGCCCAGGCCCCGAGTTCAGGCTCATGCCCGGACCCCCCAAAAAAAATTGAAATAGAAGATGCTTTATAAAACATAGGTTTAATGTTATCATGGTAGGAAAAATACATCTGGGAAGTTGGCTTTGTAAGTATATTTTGTTGTGAATATTTGAAACAGTTTTTAGAAATTATTATTGGAGATAGATTAATGAATCATGAATAGAGTTTGGCTTTCAGAATAAATAAGTACAATTTCTCTGTCACTCAAAATTGTTTCACATATTCTTCTTTTTTTGGGGGGGGTCTGGTCGTGGGGCCTGAACTCTGGGCCTGGGCACTGTCCTACTTGAGCCACGGCACCACTTCTGGCGTTTTTCTTTTTGCTTATGTGGTGCTGAGGAATACGAACCCACGGCCTCGTGCATGCAAGGCAAGCGCTCTACCACTGAGCCACCTTCCCAGCCCCTAGAGGTTGTCTTTTTAACTTTGTTGGTTGTTCTCTTTACTTTATAGAAGCCTACTTAGCAAAAAGAAAAAAGCCGGAAGTGGCGCTGTGGCTCAAGTGGTAGAGCGCTATCCTTGAGCTGAAGAGCTGAAGGACAGCGCCCAGGCCCAGAGTTCAGGCCCCACGACCGGACCCCCCCCCAAAAAAAATGTTTTAATGGTTTTTCCTTTTCAGGGTCTTTTGTATTGTATGTTTTTTTTTTCCTGTTTCATTGACTCACTCTAGTTAGCTAGATGCTGATAATTTTAGCTCAGCATGGCTGCTGTGGATTCTTTTTTGGGGGGGGGTCCAGTCGTGGGGCCTGAACTCTGGGCCTGGGCGCTGTTCCTCAGCTCTTCAGCTCAAGGCTAGCGCTCTATCACTTGAGCCACAGCGCCATTCCGGCTTTTTTCTTTGGTGCTGAGGAATCGAACCCAGGGCCTCAGGCATGCAGGGCAAACGCTCTACCACTGAGCCACCTTCCCAGCCCTGTTGTAGATTCTTAATTGATCTGACACATTAAAAAACCTAAGTCTGGGGGCTGGGAAGGTGGCTCAGTGGTAGAGCGCTTGCCTTGCATGCCTGAGTCCCTGGGTTCGATTCCTCAGCACCACATAAGCAAAAAGAAAAAAGCCAGAAGTGGTGCTGTGGCTCAAGTAGTAGAGTGCTAGCCTTGAGCTGAAGAGCTGAGGGACAGCACTCAGGCCCAGAGTTCAGGCTCCACAACTGGACCCCCCCCCCAAAAAAAAAAAAACTAAGTCTGAGGGTGAGTAGAGTTTTAATACATTTGAGATCCTGGGTTTGATTCTCAGTGCAGCAAAACATAATTATAATCATTACTTGATCTCTTCTGTATATAATGACTTTAACATTTCTGAAAATCATTTGTTCCCTATCTTTGAACTTTTCATTAGTGCAATCAAGCATCTCAAACTCTCTTGATGTCACCTGTCTTTCAGTAAGCAATCTGTGAGATTTATGCACATATGTATATAGGTAATATTCATTTTCACTGTCAAATGTTTCTCTATTTCATGAATATATATCACATTATCCATTCTAGTTCTATTTGACTTGCAACCTATTTGCAATTACAATACAAAATACCATCATAAAATTTCACGGATTTTTTTCATGTGTGTGCTTGGGGATTTGTTGTTGTTGTTGTTTGTAGTCTTGTTTTTTTGAGATTGTATCTCACTATGTACCTCAGATTGATCTCAAACTCTTGTTCCTTATGCCTCACCCTTCCTAAGAGATTACAGGCATTAATGACCTTACTTATTAATTTTTTCCTAATCAATGCTGAGAACTGAACTCAGAGATTCAAGTATGCAAGACAAGTGTGCTACCACTTTGTTATACTCCCAGCCCTCAGTGTAATTTTGATACTATATATGTATATATTTTGGTGGGTATAGTCCTAAAAGTAAAATGGTTCTTTATTGAGAATGTGTACATTTGATTATGTGATACAATGTCATATTTGAAAAGTTGTAACAAGGGGCTGGGAAGGTGGCTCAGTGGTAGAGTGCTTGCCTTATATGCATGAGGCCCTGGGTTTGATTCCTCAGAACCACATAAGCAAAAAGAAAAAAGCCGGAAGTGGCTCTGTGGCTCAAGTGGTAGAGTGCTAGTCTTGAGCTGACGAGTTGAGGGACAGCACCCAGGCCCAGAGTTTAGGCCCCAGGACCTGAAAAAAGAAAAGAAAAGTTGTAACAATTATGCTATTTAAAAAATAAAGGTGCAAGCTGGGTGCTGGTGGTTCATGCCTGTAATCCTAGCTACTCAGGAGGCTGAGGTTTGAGGATCACAGTTCAAAGCCAGCTGGGGGCAGGAAGGTCCAAAGCCAGCTGGGGGCAGGAAGTCCGTGAGATTCTTATCTCTAATAAACAACTAGAAAACTGGAAGTGGTGCTGTGGCTCACGTGGTAGAGCCCTCCTTGCCTTGAGCTGAAGAGCTCAGGGACAGTGCCCAAGCCCAGAGTTCAAGCCCCACGAGACCGAGAAAAAAATAAATAAATAAAAAAAATTTAAAGGTGCAGATTGACACCACATTCAGAATTTAAATACACATCTACCCTCACTGTGATTTTTTTTTGGGGGGGTCCAGTGGTGGGGCCTGAACTCTGAGCCTGTGCGCTGTTCCTCAGCTCTTCAGCCAAAGGCTAGCGCTCTACCACTTGAGCCACACCGCCACTTTCGGCTTTTTTCTTTTTGCTTATGTGGTGCTGAGGAATCAAACCCAGGGCCTCAAGCATGCAAGTCAAGCGCTCTACCACTGAGCCACCCTCCCAGCCCTCACTGTGATATTTTTAACCACTCTTCTCACTGGGTAATATTACTTTCTTGTAGATTGAATTTTTATTTCCCTGTTGACTAATGATGTTAAGAATTTTTTCATGTATTGATTGATCAGTTGGATATCTACTTTTATTATGTCCCTATTAAAGTTTCTTATAAAATTCCCTATTTTTATTTGTGTGTAGTATTTCTTTACTATAATTTTGCAAAAGACTTTTCCTATGTATTGCTTGTGTTTTTCTCTCATTTAATTATCTTTTGTTGTTTTTTGAGACAGAGTCTAGGCAGGCCTCAAACTCATGATCCTCCCATCTCAGCCTCCCAAATGGTGGGATTACAGCCATATACCCACCACATCCATCCTTAATTGTATCTTTTAGTGACCAGAATTCCTAGTTTTAGTATTTCTTGCTTTGTTAATAGTTGTTAATCTTCGTTTTTTTTTTTTGGACAGTATTGGCCATTTGAACTCAGGGCCTAACACCTGGTACTAGTCAGGGCAATAACTGAGTTTTCACTGTATTTATTTATTCATTTTTTGTTAATTTTTAGCAGTCCTAGGGCTTGAACTCAGGGCTTGAGCATTGTCCCAGAGCCTCTCTGTGCTCAAAGCTAGCTCTCTACCATTTGAGCAAGAGTGCCACTTCCAGGTTTTTCTGAGCAGTTTATTGGAGATGAGTCTCACAGACTTTCATGCCGGGGCTGGCTTCAAATGGCCATTCTCAGATCTTACCCTCCAGAATAGCTAGGAATAAATGTTTTTAGCTGTTGTTGATAATATGAAAATAATAGCTAAGCCGGGCACTGGTGGTTCACACCTGTAATCCTAGCTATTGAGGAGGCTGAGATCTGAGAGGATCACAGTTCAAAGCCAGTCTGATCAGGACAGTCCCTAAGACTCTTTTCTCCAATTAACCACAAGAAAACTGGAAGTGGTACTGTGGCTCAAGTGGTGGAATGCTTACCTTGAACTGAAGAGCTCAGGGACAGCGCCCAGGCCAAGAGTTCAAGCCCCACAACCATCACCACCAACAAAATCTTTCCTCAAGGTTAGCACTCTACCACTTTGAGCCGCAGCATCACTTCTGGGGTTCTGGTGGATAATTGGAGATAAGAGTCTCACTGACTTTCTTATCTAGGCTGGCTTTGAATTGTGGTCCCCAGATCTCAGCCTTCTGAGTATCTAGTATTACAGGCTTGAACCATTGGTGCCAGCACATAATCTACTTGTCAAATACCACTGTTTTCTTCACCCATTCATCCATGATGGACACTTAGGCTGTTTCCATATTCTGCCTATTGTTAATAGCACTGAAGCGGGATGGGAAGGTGGCTCAGTGGCAGAGTGCTTGCCTTGCATGCATGAGGCCCTAGGTTCGATTCCTCAGCTCCACATAAGCAAAAAAAGCCAGAAGTGGTTCTGTGGCTCAAATGGTAGAGCACTAGCCTTGAGCTGAGGAGCACAGGGAGAGCACCCAGGCCCAGAGTTCAAGCCCCATGACAAAAAAATAAAAAAGAGTGAGCACTGAAACAAACAAAGGAATGTTAATATCGCTTAGTGGCCTTGATTTCTAATTTTCTGAGTGTACATTCAGAAGTGGGATTGCTGGACCAACTAGTAGATTTTTTAAGTAGTTTCCAATATGTTTTCCACAGTAGTGGCAGCATTTTACAGTCCCACCAGTAGCCATACAGTGGCTCCAAATTCCTCATATTCTCACCAACACTTTTTGTTTTTCTGATAATAACCACTGTGACAGATATGAGGATGTATCTTGTGATTTTTGTGATAGTGAGCATGTTTTCATATTTTTTCCATTTGCATGTCTTCTTTGGATAAAAAATGTCTGTTAAAATAATGAGTCTTTTTAATGGGTTTATCCATTATTTGGTTATTGAGTTATATTTTTGTACTAATATATTTTGGAGATTAATCTTTTACCAAATATAGTTTTCCATATATATGGTTTTCCATCATGCCCTCCCATTCTAGAGGTTGTCTTTTTTTATTTTTT